CTGTTCAGAAGTCTAGACTGCGTCGTACTGTGGACGTCCGACCTACGTGGTGAGTGAGTGCTGGGAGGCAAATTCGGATGGCTTCGGAAAGTAATAATTTCCGATGTTTTAATTCTGGACTCGACCCGGGAAAGCATGATTCGAGCTTGATAATAGCATTGCGTAGCTACTTTATGACTTGAAGTGGGAACTTGATTTCCAATCATTATATTTCATTATGCGTATGGTTTTAATGTCTGGTCGCTGGTCATGTGGCCTCTCGAGCAGTTTGTGATTTTCGGGTATTCCCAGAGTTATGGGACATATTTTTCTGTTGGTTCAGGTTCTAGAATATCGTCGCTGCGTACAGTGAACACATTAGGCCGGGTGAAAAAGCTTGTCGAGTGTGAAATCATCATCGCGCACGTCATGAAATTGGTCTGGTCTTGGACGACACATATTCTTTCTTTCCTCTATCGAGTTCAACGGTTCCAGCTTCATTGCATGTCCGTACCACCGATCGGAGTACAACATAATTCCAGTAAACAAAAAAACAGTCGTTGTGATGATTACGAAAATCAAACCTCTCTCCTTTCTAGTGATTTTATGGTGAAATCTGTTCCTTCTGATCGATTCAATATATTCTCCGTAAACTCAATTTCCGATAACTGAAGTTTGAGTGCACATGCTTTCCTTTTACATGCCAGACAAAACAGCCTTCCTTCCTTGCAAATGATCATCGAGTCGTTGATTATTTATATGAATATGTGTGGAAAAACTTCTTCTCAGTCTAATTCATTTGAAACCGTGAGATGATATTCACAATGTATGGATAAAAACAGAAAAACTCGGCGATACATCATGCACTTTCTTTGAGACATGGAAGTTTTGATCCTTAGAAATATTAGCTGTAATCATTTGAACTTGTAAATAAATTGATACCTTGAGGTTTACACATGCACGTATTATATAACATATAATTCTTAGATGTCTATATCGTCCTAGATATCGACAAAATAAAATAACTTGGTATCAACATCAAACTGTGATAGAACGTTTTATCAATATTGGCAGACTTCGTAGGTTTTCTCAGCCTCTTTAGACAATATTTGGAGAATATGTTTCAATTTTGATTCTCTTGATACCGAAATGATAATTAAATACAAAATAAAGCGTGAAAATCAATCACAAAATTACACAATACTTGATATCATGAGTAATAAACTCCTGTTTTTAGATAAAAGAAGGAATTTCAAAAAACAGCATATCATAAAATCAGGAGTAAAATTTTTTCGTTAAACGTTTTCAATAACATTCAAAATAAACGATTGAATTCTTCACATTGTTTTATGTATTATCTTTTACTCAAAAAATGATGCAACTCGATAAGAAATCAAACTCAGTTCATCGTATGAGGAGTCGCACAAGCAGAATAAAGGCAAAAAATGTGGATAATACGTACATAGTAATATGATCCCTCGAAGCTCATATAATACCATATATCAAAACCTCTAAAGACAAGTTTACCTGGATATATCCAGCGGATATCAACCTGCAGACATGCAGCTTAATCGGGTAAGACCAGACCAAGGATTAACCAAAACGTGATGTCAAGATGCACAAAAGTTTGCATATCGCAAAATATTCAGGAAAAGAACGCAGGCTTTCACCTAGCCATGTGTGATAATTGTATTATTTAAATAGACATGTTCACCCTCACAGCATCAGTGATGCATAACGCAGATTTTATATGCATTCTGCAACCTTACATTGTGCAAAAGTTGCAAGGAGCAGTTTATTACTTCATTTAATTTGGTCTATATATTCCGAGGAGTTTTCCGCCAGCAATTAAGATGTGACACATATTCAATTGCCGAGATACTGATTATGAGACTTTGAACTCTAGCCGATTTGATTACTTACCATTTATCCGCGTGCCATTCTGGAGGGAGTTCTTTGCTGGACTTCATACAGTGTCACGGCTCATGGTCTCGTCTGATCTCAAAACTAAAAAGAGGCTTCACCAACTAAGTCCGTCGGTCGTCATTCTTCAAATGAAAACTCTATGTCTAAATGTTCTCCACAAAGTAAATGGAGACAATATAACGAGCTTAAAAGGGTCTGGGAGGTCGAGCATCCGACCATACTTTTATTCATACAACTGTAATAGAATTTGGAATATACAATAATATGAGTTGAGTAGGATTTGAGTTTGGAGGAGACAAAGGGGATCAATATGTATTGCGCATTAGTTTTAAAAAAACACGTTGGCTTCTTTCAGGGCAGCTATTGATCATAATCTCACTCCTGAAACATACTTTTGTCATATATACCTTTCTTTCTAAAGCTATAAGTCTTAAACACTATTGTCTTAAGGGATAATCAGTGAAAACGTTTAATACCCAATCATAACATCACGAAAGAACTATGGAACGCAGGAAATTGCGCATCTCTGAGTTTTACAATTTCTTGACATACTTCTCACTGTTATCTCAAACGTACCCTATGTGCCTTCCAGAAACCAGGACGTACACGTTATAATGTATGCCTATATAAGGGGGCGGCTAGTTATCCCTCACATGGGGCTAATTAGCCCTCACTTTACTATACTATACGGAGCCCACTTATTGGTTCACTCGGGTTATAGATGTGGTGAAAGTTCAACTTCGTAAGTTTCAGTCTTTTTGATCCTTTCAAAGATACCTATGTGGCTTTTGCCACGGAGGTTTCTTTCCTGCCACTTCCGCGTTCGAGTAGCCACGTCAAAAGCCAGGCAGCGGAGACGGGCTCATTGGAAGGATTTTCTGCTCAGCCATGGAGAATTCTTCCCCGCCGAGGGTAACTATGATCAGCCTGAAGTAAAGGGCACTGCCGATGCTGTGTCAAGTCAGTTCTAAAAATTCAGCGCCGAAGGTGGAGCATACTCTTGACGTGTTCTCAAGTCTTGGGTGTATTATCAATGAGGCTTATGAGGTTTCGCATCTGACTTCGCGACATTGGTTGAGATCAAAATGATTTTGAGCATACGTGAAGTTGACGGTTTAATGAAAGGCAAGAATTGTGTGCGTTTAGTCGATATGAATGTATGATCTATCTCTAATCAAAATTGACATTTGCGATGGCGGGCTTGTGTGAGATTGCACGCCCGACCTTCTCGTCGACACGTGTTAAAACTTGTCTTGAGTTAAATATGATAACATGGAAACTTCGCCTATCTACGTAATCTCAAACAGGTTTGAAATTACTCTTCACAGCACAAACTACATTGTTGGAGCTGTATCTTTGATTTTAAATGATCAAAAAGATTGGACACTCGCGAAGTTGAACTTTCATCACACAGACCTATAGTCCAAATGAACCAATAAGTGATTGTCGTATAGTAGGGTGAGGGCTAATTAGTCCCAAGTGAGGGATCATTAGCCACCCCCTAATATAATTTCAATATAACAAGGCAATGTCATATGTGCTTGAACAAGAACATCAAAGTTTTTCATGTGTTTGACTTCATGTAACCATCTTTAGTTAGTTAGAACTAAAGTAGAGTTTACTCTAAATGTTGATATAGATACTTTAGCGCGCATTAGTCATAACTGCCACATTAGCGATCCGCGCGCTTGGTAGGTAGAGAGTTGGTATGTTAGTTGCGAGTGTCAGGTCAAGGATCCGTGTGCTTGTTAGGTATGAACTGGTTGTTAGTTAGTGTGTTAGTTGGGAGCGTCACGTCATCCATACACTAGGAGTGGGAAGGATGATGGAGATCATATCTTATCTTCTTGTATTTGTTGGTGAGAGCTATATAAGAGAGAGTATAACCATTATTGGTATCTCTCATCTTCAGAGTTTATGTTTACATCTTCGAGTGAACTTTTTTCTGACCCTAGTGTTACACTTCAGAATACGATTATTTATGATTGTAAGATCTTTGACGTTTTATTGATGAGTGGCTTAAGGGTCGACATGAGACTTTGTGTACAATTCTATTTAATCGGCTGATGAAGGGTTTCAAGACTATAGTAAAAAAATGTATAGTATCAAGGAGATACTAATCATTGTTATATTAAAAATCAAAGAATTTTTTTCTAAATTCTTCAAAATGTTATAAATATTATTTTGAATATTGAAATATATTGCATTGATTAATAATTTGAACATCAAAAATATGTGTAGGCATTAAATTTGTATCTAGTTTAAACTGGAAAAAATAGCAAGATAGATATTGCTCTAATCTTTTTCTTCATTTATACTCAATATAAAATTCAAAGAACAACAGTCAAGAAAATAAGGTAAAGTCATTAAATAAGTAGAATATGTTCTCTTATGAACTTTAGGTGTTGAAAAGATATAAGGAAGTTATATAATTTGAATGAAATGTGTTAATTTTCACTATAAAATTTATTTGGATTGAACTTATAGTGTAAATCACCTTGAATGTGTATTACCGAAAACAAAACTTATAGACTTATATTTGGAATATTTTCATATGTTACAACTTAAGCAAAACATTTGATGTTACAAAAAATAAATTTGTATTATATTTTTATCACTCAAAAGAGGCTTGTAGATTGAAATTACAATAAAGTTTTGAATCTGATATTCTGACATACAATTGCCTTGCAGATTACAGGTCAGAACAGGGTCTTCAAAACATTATGAAAATGTGAAAAACTAAATAAAATGCAGTGAATGGATAGATTACCTGCTCAGAAAATCATTGCAGGATTTAGAAAATAACATGAGCTTATAAAAATACAGATATTATATCGTATTCTCACATTTTACTCAACTCGTTAGCCCTACGACTTGAGTAAATCAAGGTAAGATGATCTTCTTGTGATCTTTATTGCCAAGCATGCTTGAATGAAAATCTAAGAGACAAAAATTTGATAATTTCAAATGACTGGTGGCAAAGAGAGGAGCATATTGAAACCTCAAGTATGCTAAAAATTCAGAAATATATATTAAAAACAGTGACAAAGTTGAGTATTCTGCGGATGGGATGAAATTGGCACAGAAGGCTGTGGTCAGGACAGAAATAGACAATAATTTATCGGAAGAAGGCTAAGTCAATCTAAAACTAGCGGAACTCTTTTGAAGCTCAGTTTAGTGTTAAAGGTAGGAGGGAAGGTCCGGGAAACAACTAAGAAGGAACAATTATGCTGCTCAAGCTGAACGTGAACAATTTTTGTTGCTGGACCATGTCTCTTGTGCTCAGCGCATGTGGATCGCCCATGAGCTGGGAGTAGACACGGTGAGTTGAGACGGATCGAGGGACATGGAGTGTCCAGTTATTTCATGCATTAATATGGGAAGGTATGGAGCTCAATACAAGCTGAGATAGGTACAATCTACAACTCCATGTCAAATATGAACCTGATTGTAGGAAGTTTCACTATCACTCATTGCAGTGACAGTGAAACATGCTCGTGCTTACTGATTTCTTTCAGAGCCTGAACTCAATTATTAGTAAACGCCAAGCTGTATACTGGGTGGGGTAAAGCTAGCTCGCAAGCATTTGCATTCAATTATGCGTCTACCATCCAACCATCCTTTATAGTCCGACAGGGATTCTCTAGAGTCTATTCTTGTCTCAAGGGTGTGGCAACATAGCTCTTGTTGTTGGTGAACTTGGTGGGGGCAAGATCAGTGGATCAGTTAATGACTCCCGTCCTCCACCTAGGGAACGCAGCTAGCCTGATGTTGCGCTTTGCATGCCAACAACGAACAAGGGGAATCGGTGCATAATGTGCGAGTCGATGTGTTTCATGATGCTCCCAGACTGATATTGTATCATCATAGTTTCCAACGGCATGATCTCTTTTCTGGCCCCGAAAACTTTATTAGGAGTGACGCGACCTACGAGCAGCATTACAAGCCATCCTTTGAGCAAATCATGAATCCACCAGGTGGTGAACCTCGAACATCCATCAAATCTATCTCATCGCACCCTTCAAGAATCATCGATGTCTACACTGGAGAACTAGTCGCCTTCTCCCGAAACATCTGTCTAATCATAACTGAGCACGATGAGTGTTTGCAACATGCCCGAGGCGATGACCAGCATCCTCCGTGACCCGCACTTTTAATTCTCACATCGAGAAATCTGACCTCCGAGCCCGAGCGTGAACATCATACGCTCCCCCTGTACTTCCTTCGTCTTGGCCGGCTCGTGATCCCCCTTCGACTCGGCTGGAGCTCCGGCCGAGCTTTGTTTGAATCTCCGCTGCCTCCCGCCCGCGCCCGCTATGCGTCCGAACGGCCTCGAAGGCCCCCTCCCACGTGTCAGGAAAGCCACGGGGCACGGCGCGTGCATCTGCATCGTCAGCCGGTCAGAGATCGAACGGCTCGGAATCAAGAGTGCTCTTCTCGAGGAAACGAGGAAGAAGAAGAAGACGACGACGATTGGAAGGCAGAGGGGGAATTACCGGTTTGACCAGCCGAGCCGGTGACGGGGACGGGTGGCTCGTTTGCCAGCTACTTGCAATTTCCACATCCGATACGATTCTTACGATGTGGTCCTTCTTCTACGACGATCGATCTCGTCTAGACTGCATCCATACCTACAAGTACTGTACTGGACTGTAGCGCTGGACGAGTCGAGTCTGTACTTCGAGTACTAGCCTTGTAACTAATTCGATTCCTTCTGCAGCTCGAGCTCAGACGGCCCAGAGTGCTCTCCGTCGCGACTCGAGGAGGTTGCATATGTGATGATGTGCAAATTTTGCAAAAGCAGCTTTCGTTACTGTTTGCTGATTTTGTGCCAAGACGAACAAAGTGCGAGATTCTGCTGCAGGTGTGCCTTTTTTACGAATGGCACCCAAGGACTGTTCGTTCAACTCTTTCCCTTGCGGAAGCGAATTGATTCAGTGCGTAGGTACGATGGCTAGCAACAGATAAAACATAAAACTCACTCACGAAGAAGAAGATTTCCAAAGGACGCCCTCTAGTTCTCTAGGGCCAACTGAGTCATCCTGCTGTAATACGGCTCAGTTGCGTTCATCAATCGCTGGTCCATCGTACCGCCTCGTGAAATGGCTAGTACACTTTCGAGATCATTCTGGCCTTCTGATACTTGTGTGTCGGCCACGAGGCATGAGCCTGTCGACAACGACTCGCAACTTCCCTCGGCCTCGGACACAAATTCTAATAAGCTTAACTTTTTGTTGGTACCATGCGTTATGATCACAACATTTCGGGAACAGTTGTTGCAGTTGGAAGTGCTTTATTTAGTGATTATCACGTTTGGTGTTGGCACTTTAACTTCTAATCACTTTGGTATTATCGTGATCCAACTTGGTCACTTGATTAAGTATGAGCACAAGAGTTTGTTGTGATCATCATGGACCTTACAGTAGGTAATATTCTGTTAAAGTGAACTTTAACAGAATATTCTTTCAGTAACACAAAGGCGTTTAGTTATAAGCTTCCTTCTAGCTCTTCTTCACACACGTTGATTCTTCTCGTTGATTTTGTAGATACTTAAATACAACACGTAGCTGATTTGTGGACCTCAATATTTCAGAATACTTTCGAAAGAGCTTCTAAAATGATGAACCCTTTCTACTAACAATTCGCTACTGCTATTTGATAATTTCTATGTATACTATAGTCATACTTGTTACCAAGCCTTTGTTCAGGTGAATGAAATTTCATTTCAGCAGCTTTGAGTACTACTTTTTCTGATGACCTAAGGTGCTCAGCGGAGGGGATGACAGGATGGGAGTACAGAGTGTATTTCGGCACGTGCGAGTGTGTCAACTACTTCTCGAGTAAACTCGTTGCGTATTCTGTAAATGAGAGGTCTCGAAGCCTTCCCGAATAACTTTGAGTATTTGTATAGTTGGTATTGAGTAGATGAAGTATTCCAAGCACGAGCTAGCTCATCGAAATCTATGAAAAATTTTGTGTATGATAAATGTATTTAACATGTACTCTTTTTTTGTACGTACACATGTCCTATTACAAGATAAATAGATGCCAAATCATAATTCCAAAAAAATGAATCCAGTAATACAAGTGTAACAAAGTTGTCTTAGGGTATAGAGTTTACCCTAAACCCTAACAACATTGCATACTTATGTAACTAAAGCTGCAGCTACATAAGTCATGACGACTTGGGTGAGTGGAAAACATGTGACTGCGCATCATGTCAAAAAGAAGGTGGAATCCATTCTTCTGGCAAAGATTTGATAAATACAGGGCTGAAAGACTCAATCCATGCTTTCAGCAGTACGTAAATCAGGTCGAGCACTGAGATTATGCGTCATGTTTCTTTCAGTTACAGAACTGGAGGTGGAGCAAGATCTGATCAAGAAACCGAATCAGCTTTCTATTTACCAACTTAATGCTCCAGTAGAAGGACTTATCACATGTGTTACCTGCACCGTCTACATATCCTCTTTCTAGTTCCACAAGTACATTCTTCTTCCATCCCAGACTACAGGAATAATTTTATTAGGGGAACGTTCACCCACATAGCCACCGAGGGATTTCAGGTCACAATTTTAAAACCCATCCACAAGGGGCAATAGTTCCCACCCAATGAAGCAACTGTTCTTGGCCGTGCGCCGTCTCCTTAAAACTAATTTCACATGAGTCTACTCATTCCGGAAGAGGAAGTCTTTTCCTTACCTACCAACCATCACCTGCGTTCTGTATGCGCGGATCGTTCCGTAGTATCTGTCAACTCTCCACACTAACTCTACGGACGGTTTCTTCTACGAGAGGCTCACTCTTGCATGAAACAAATTCTCTGACAAGTCATCGAGTCCTGTCCATAACATCTTACTTTGCTCATGCTTTAGTAGGGTACGCTGTCTTCTCTGTACACTTGCGTACATGTACTAATCTGCCACTGAGAAAACGCACCTCTTATAAGGAAGGTATAAGGTCAGAAAGAAAAGTTAAAATTTTACCTACAAATTCTGAGTTGTAAGAGTATTTACTTGACTTAGTGTCTGCTGTACCGGGATAGTCTAGGGCCTCTACCCCTGTACACTTACAGGGGACACTTACTTGTACATGATTAGCAGTATCCTAAACTCCTACTAAAGCATCGAGGCCTATGTCACCTCTGTCACTGGAAATCTAGTTCCTGTAATTATCTGCATAATTAATTATCTACTCTGATGACTCCTAGTTTTACTTTCATAGGTGTCTACGTGTGTATCCACACTATTACCAAGTAGAAAGTATGGGATTAGCTTTCATTGAAGCTAATCCCATGGCGAATATTCAGTTAAAAGTGCATGACGCGACTCTGAGTCTTCTGCTAACTACCCCTTATACCGATGGTGTTCTTGTTCAGATTGTACTACTCATCTAATAAATATAATAATATGATTATGTCACCATCGGTGCTTAGGGACACAGGACCCTCGTCGCAGCAGCTCAAGCATGCGTCGGAACCAAAGTTTCCACCGCAAAAGGGAACGGGTTTTACGATCTCGGAGCAGTTGGGCACCAACGTGATAGAAGTCGCATCTGTATCACCAACTGCGATAGTACTTGCGTACTTGCCAGAAGCCTACGAGGAGAGCGAGAGTGCTCTCACTCTCCAATTAGCCCTTTGATATACGAAGGGAGAAGCCGAGCTGGCATTCTACATTGGAGCCGATGGAGGTCGAGCGCTAAAATGGACGAGGAGTGGGTTTGGCGGGCGAAAGGTTGCAATCGAAGCTCAGTTCGGTGCTGTCTTTCTGTGAGGGAGGAAACGAACGATGAGCGAGGCGATAAGATTGGATGCTGCTGGGCTGACACAGACAGACACTACTAATACGGTAGCACCAGACAAAACCAGTAGCCAGAGAGGAGGCGATTCAGAACTGGGCGAGCCATTGCGATCATCAGCCGGGTGTGTAAATTTGAACCTGTAAATCGAAAGCCTCGTGGTCCACTGAGCACTTTGTGGGACCTTGCTAACGCTAGCTAGCTCCTGTAGCTGACCCTGCCTTATATTCTTTTCAGTTGGCAATATTCCTTTCTCAGTGCGTACCACGGTCCAGCACTGCAGACCTCCCTCCCTCTCCCCGTCCCTCCCTCCCTCCCTCCTCTCGCTGTCTGCCCTGAAACCCAGTGCGTTGGTATGATGACGGCAGTAATCTTACTGTGCCAGCCAGAGCTGCGGGGTGACATCTAGAGACCAATGTCTCGGCAACAGAAGGCTTTTTGTTGCATTCTCATATACCTCAGCAGACTGACTGATTAGCTGGATGCTCAGGCGATGAATGACCAGAGACCAGACTCGACCCGACCCGACTTAAGAACGCCCCTTCTCTCTACTGCACACTTTCAGAGAAGATTTTTTAAAGCAACAACAAACACTCCACACAGTAGTCCAGCTTGCTGCAAACGAGACTGCGAACTCCGTGGTTTCAGAAACATTCCCCTGTTTGATACATCCACAGGTCCCCTGTGTCAAGCATCAAGAGCTCAGATCTCACCCGGGCGTAGAACGTCGTTCTCGAATACTACTGCTACATGAACATGAGAACTGACGATACGAACGTACGCGAGCGAGCTCAACTCAGAACGTGCTTGCCTTCAGCCGTCGAGTGTGCGCTGCGTGGCCGGCGAGGTCGTTCGGTACAAAAGCATCCGTTGGCTTTAATCATCGACGTGACCGACTGTGACGTAGGCAGTTGGAGCTTGGATCCTTCAGCGCAGCAATCACAGGACACGTAATAAACGTCCCCTTCCTGCGAGTGCACGTAACTGAACATGAATCCTGGATTCTGGATCCTGAATCCTGATCCTCCCTCCAGCCGTCTGTCTCTCCACAGGGCGTGAAGTCATGAGAGTACATACATGGTCATGTCGGAGTTACACTACTCCGTCAAATAGGAGTCGAGCCTTCGCTCGGCCCCCATGGACGGATGGGTGGATGCGGTGCGGTGAGTCCTCGCACGCGTCACATGGCAAGACAACAATCCACACAACGTCGCAACAAGCGTCACGACACGACACACCAAAACACGGCAAAATTACGGCGTCTGCTCTTGCCATTGCCATTGTCATTGCAAGATAATTTCATCCCGGAACGATTCAGAATTGTTGCAACATTGGTACAGAGTGGCACATACTTTTTCTTGCCGCCCGGGCCAGGATAATACATTGATCGATCGTTCGATCGTTCGAGAACTGAACTCAATAAGCCCGTTTCTCTGCTCTGCTCTCTGCTATGCCATCCATCCTACAGGAAGCTAATCAGAGTAAATTCCGCATCTTAGCGTCTAAAACACAGAGACCGACCGACAGACTGAATGATCGCTGCCTGCCTACGTTGCGCGGGTCTCTTCCCTTCCCCAACGAGGGAGGGAGTCTCGATACTCAACTACGTTCGCTTGAATGGAATATGAACAATGGCCCACAGTTGACGCTGATCGGCGGCGGACGCAGTCACCAAGCGCATAATGTGGTGCGAGTAACGCAGTCTGCCCCGACTATCAACGATGGATTGGATTTCTCCCTATGCACACCCGGTTCACATGAAAGTTGAAGCCGAGGACGAATTGGCTCGGACAGTGTAAACACTCGGACCGGTTGCTTCGAGTGTCCGATGAGATTGAGTGATTTGCGACGAGACGGGTCCGCTGTCACAACTGCGTCAAGAGACTTGCCCGATGAGCGCCATGAGGATCAGAGTTCCAGGGACGAGAATGAACTGGACCAGCGTCCGGACGCCATGACTGGCGCCTTGCGACGCCGCGGCTATGAATCGGATGCCGGTCGTCGCGAGCGGCATGTTCTCCGAGTTGGGACTGCACTGCGGAACCTCGTGGGTGTCGTTCGAGTACATGATGGCCCTCAAAACGGACGACACGGTGGGAATGTACGCCGTCCGGTTGGTGTAAAGCAGCCACATGAGTCCCATCAGCTTGCAGTACTCCTCCGTGGCGTTCAGCGACGGGTTGGTGGTGAACTGCGACGCCGTCTCCGACTGCACGCACCCAAGCACAACGTGGTCAGCATGGTATCCGCGGTACGTACTTGCACTCGCACAGCGCGCATCTCAAGCGCAAGAACTCCTCGCGAGAGCAGGGGACGACGACGGCGATCGAGAATCGCGTTCCAATCACTGACCCGCACGACACATTCGACCTCCTGGACATCGCTGCGACTCGGCTCGTCGATCGATCGGCATTTGGCGATTGTCCAGCGAGGCGTTTCGAGCATCGTGAACGTGAGAGGTTTTCGTGAAAAGCTCACGAGGTGTGATTATGGGTGGCGCGAAAGAAATGTGGGCGGATGGGATGAAATTATTCACTCGGCTAAAGCACTTGACAGGTCTGAAAGTGTGAATGATTCATACGCGAAGAGCTAAGCGAATTGCGTAAGCATGTAGGCAAGCAAGCAAGCAACACACGGGTGGGTAGTGAGGAGTGAGGAGTGAGGGTTGAGCTCACATTTTCGAGTGTGTCGACGCAAGCTGTGCAGCCTTCGTAAGTCGAGACTCGGCAGCTGTCTTCGAGGGAGCTGCGCACGATGGAAGGGCTTCTGGACTCAACGCCACTTCGAAAGTCATTGAACGGACAGCTGTTGTCGTTGATCTCCGTCAGGTGGATGCCGCAGTAGCAAACCACGGGATCACACGAGGAATTTCCGGTGTCGAAGAGAGCTCCTTTCGCCTGAAGTGCCGATTCCAAGCTGCTGATACAATTCGAAGTGACGTCGGCGCTCGTGGCAGAATTGTTGCGGCCGCTGTTTGCCGGAGGAGACAACGCCAATCGAGCATCCGCAGCGTAAACCCACGCGGCGAGCACGGGACAACATCGCTTCTTCTCCGGCATAGCACCGTGGCAGGCTTCCTTCACGCCTCCGAAACTCACTTCCCCTAAGTCCAGAGCGCACCACACCGCCTGCAACGCATCTATTCTCGTTTCGAGAGCTTGGGCGGAATGCAAGATCGCGACGCAGCAGAGCCAACAGACCATGAGCAATCGAGAGGAGTGAGCTGCGAGTCCACGGCCGCTTTCAATGCTGGAAGCCATCTCGGCCTCCCCCTCCCTCCCTCCCTCCCTGCACTGCACTACCTTCTATTCGTCCGTCCCTCTGCTCTGCTCTCTGCTCTCTCTATCTCTCCCTCTCTCTCTCTCTCTCTCCTCTTTGCTCACCAGCTCGCTCTTTCCTCTCTTCGAGTTTCCACTCTCGGCAAACTCTGTACCTCCTTCGATGCACACGTCTATCCTTTCCTCAGTACAAGAGCTGCGAGGAGCAGATCGTTGGACAACTTTTGGCCTTCCCCTCCTCTCCTCTGCTCGTCGCCTGTCCTCGCTTCCCTTCTGGATTCTCGACAGACAGCTTCGCCTCGCCTCGCCTCGCCTCGCTCGCCTCTCTTCAGTTCAGTTCAGTTCACTGCACTGCACTTCACTTCCTAGACTCGGCTCAGAGCCGGGAGCCGCCTGGGGCCTGGGGCAGTTCTTGCTCTTGAATGCAGCAATGCCTGGTCGCACGCTCCACACGTGCCGAGGCCCCTGTCGGGCCCGTGCAAGCGCGAGGGAAGAGCGAACGAGGAGAGGAGAGAGAGTCTGAGAAAGTGTGCGAGCGAGCAACTTTGGTCGCAGCCTTGGACTCAGCATCTTCGGCCTCGCCGCTACTTATGCCTCGCTGGGTTTGGCGTGGACTCTCTGCACCTCCATTCCTCGCTGCCCAACACATACAATCCTGTAATACGTAGGTAGGCACGGCCCCATCGTTGCAGCCATGGGAACTTTTCTGCCCGAGGCTGATCGTCGTCAGAGCTGAGTGAGCTCGGTGTCAGACCTGACTCCCTGCAAGATGTGAGCTGAGAGAGAGAGAGAAAGAGAGGGACGTGCTTCAGAGCGAGGTAGAGAGAGAGAGTGTGTGTGTCGGTTCTGATGCCGAGGAAAGCACTTTTGAGACTCGACTGAAGCCGTAGCCAGGACCTGTACTGTACACAGGGCGAGAGTGTGAGTGAAGCCAAATGACGGGATCTTGCCTGTGCACTCGCTCGGTATTCGAGGAATCGGACCATCGAGATATCGGAGAGGCCCTGTCAGGACACTTGTAAGCGTCCATCTGCTCCGTCCTTCCCCCTTTCAGCTCGTGGAAACTCTTCATCAGTGCAATTCCCTCGTATCCGTGCCTATCCGGGGGCCTGAAGTTGCCACTCTAAAAAATTGTACAGCAGATTCCTGAGCCACTCCTTTGAATCATAGGCCATTTTAGGTGCCATAGATTGACGCAGATCATCCCTTTTCCCCTCCTTGCTTAGAAAAATGCGGGGCCGTGAAAATTTGGGGATGTGGGTGGCGGTCATGATGAGAAGGAAGCCCTTCTATTTGGACGAATAAACTGTGGAAAAGCATCCTAATGGGGATTTACGCTGTAAGTATCGACGACATTCTTGAATCTCCTGTGACATCTACCGTACCTTCAGTAATTATATGAGCTTCCCCAAGTGGATGTCGTTGGGGCATTAACTGGACGAACGACGGTCTTCTGCTCTGTAGAGAATACGTACAGGAAGGTGAGATGGCTTCACGGACTGGCGACGATAGATGGTGGTGTTTGTACACGATGAACATGTATAGGAGTATGAACGACTGACTGTGAGGACAGGCGATGATGGTGTCGTCCACTACTCATGTGCACAGTACTATAATATGGCTAAATCTAATCGCTGTTGTGATGATGACTTCGCGCAGAGTTATCGAAGGGTTTCCGAGCCTGGTAGGTGGGGCTGGCCCCGCTGAGTTGGAGACCTCGCCGTCCTCCAGTGCTTTTGCCCTACAGGCAGGCTGCTGCTGCTGCTGCTGCTGCTTGGTCTGCTCTGTCTGTCCACTCGGTCTGCCATCAGAGAGATTACATTAAGCAAGGAGATTTGGGAGGGAGCATGATGGATAAGCTTTGGTGGGTGAAGCTTTCAAGAACCAAGGACTGCTCAAGACCAGGTGCAGCTATCATCAGGATGCAGGTCGCTCCAGACCCCTCTACTATACTTCTACATCCGTCTAGGGATTTTTTCTTCGACCATTCTTTGACTGTGTGCTGCAGTTCGAGCTACAACCAGCGTATGCATGCAGCTCGCTCTGCTTCTCCCACTAAATAATCCGATTAAGTTTTTTGTCTTATTCGTGTACGGGCTCCAAAACAAGCCAGTGATGTCACTCAGCAGATTGCTTCTGTACGCTCTCTGTCTTTGACATTTCGTCTTCTGACCCCAAGCCCTTGCCTTGCCTTCCCATTCATCTGAAGGGATCTGGCGGTCTGCATTCTTCCATTTTGTCTTGCATATTGGTAATCCAAAGTGCTGGAGCTACTCCTCTCTTTGGCCTTGAGAGGAAATGGGGACCGGTCGTATGCATACATACTTTCCTTCCAGGTATGCAACTGATTCCGTTCCATGCACGATCAGCTGGTTTCAAAATGTACTATTTTGACTTCTTTTATTAATCTAAATCACGTCAGTGAACTTTTCCTGCAAGTAAGCTTACGACATGCAGATCCCGCGGACGCACCCACCGATAATTCGCCCTTCACCCTGTAATCTATTTTCACGTATTTTAAAATTATGTGGAGTATTGAACACTTCGAAAAGCTTTGTGGCGATCTGATTGCGTATTCGAGCAAAAATTACGAGATTTTGAACAGAGTCCAGGTAGTCAGTGATTGAATGCTCTAACTACCACCACCATTAGCTAGAGCTGAAGGGGTAAACCATCAACCGTGGCTTATGACTTGAACGATACCGTACAGGACCTCGAAACGAAGATGTTGCCAGTTGAAACCTATAACCATGAGACTAGAGGCTTTCCAGGATACCGTAGTGAACTATGGGCCCATGTACCGAACTCTGTACCGAGCGACTGGTGCTCGAGAAAGGCAAGACACTTCAGCTGGCGGCCCTTCTCATCTACAGTCCATTGCCATCTGAGAGATGGAAGAAAGTGCAAGTAGCTAGTTGGTCATCTTTTGCTCCATAAATGGTCAGCCATGAAGCCGACTGACTCGAGTCTCTGAGAATCTGAGATCGTCTTTACGCTCCGAGAGGAGAATGTAATGCCACTGTAGCCCCGTCCCTGCACTATATACGAGCCACAGCCTTAATCACACATTCATTTATTCCGCCCCTTCGTGTTGTTCTTTCACGATTCAATACATCCACAACCACTCCACAGTCCTCACAACATCGATAATCAGGCCAAACCTCCGTGACCTCATGACCGGTTCGTTTCCACCTTTTCCACATACTACGCCGCTTCTTCCCCCAAGTCCCCTCCCTCGCTAGCTCGGGTATATTCTTGGGATCTGCTACATTAATTCGAATGTGACAGTCCTCTTTTCTCAAGGTCTTGGTTCCCGTCTCCAGCCAACCGGGTCCCTTCTCCGGCTCAAATTTCCCCGTCTTTTTCGTATTTCCGATTGGAGACGACGGTGAAGGTATATACTCATGTCAATGATCATATACGATGACAGGGATCGGAAATAAGAAAAATACGTCTTTGTCATCGTATGCAATCATTGACACGGAAGTATACCGTCACCATCACATTATGATCCTGCTATCATGCCTGTGACTATTACTATATTTAAGAAAGCCAAATACTAGGGCGTATCAGCATAGTCAGTTTGAATTTTATGGTGCCCCAAGAAACTTTCTCTAAAAACTCTTTTACTACATGGTTAATATTTTAAATTGATGGTTGCTATCATCAACTTCGTAAGGCAAAATCTTGGAAAATTCGTAACATCTAATGTAGTGTACTCTATTGAAAGCTGTATGGTACTGATACTCGTGTGTGCATATATTTAAATAAGAATTTCAGAGGTTTTTTTATAGAGATTTAAGATGTAAATAGAACTAATGTACAATTTATCGAACTCTTAAAAATATTGGTACTTTATTTCAATCTCTTAGATCTTTATAGATCTGACAAGCGTGCTTGAATATAACTCATTTTAACGATCGAATTCAAAATCTCAGCTATGATAGGCGGTATGTGCTGAAGGAATTACTGTGGAAATCACTCAGAGAAAAAAAATTAATTTTATTCGGTGATTTTAATTAAAGATTAAGATGTCAAATAGTTCAAACTGATATATATAAATTCATGTCTGTACATCTTGATGCTCATAATATATTAGAAACATCTTATAGTTTATAGTTTTCTGATATGTCCATGAGATTTACAAAATTAATGTAGAATGAAGATAAAATAATGTAATAGTCTTCTCCTGATGTTAATATTATCAGTCAGTCGTTTTTTAAGTGTATGATGGATGATGCTCGATCAGCAAACCTCAGAAAGGTTATTACAGAAGAAAAAAAATTTGATATCTATCTTCACTCTTGTATGAGTGGAATCTCTAAGCATAATTGTTTTGTTAAACCTAATTTATCAATATTAGGCAAATTTTGTAAAAGTTGAGGAAAAATTAAAATGAAAGATCTAAAAACTATAAATCAAAGTGAAGACCAAACAAAAATACTCAACGACAAACATGTGGACATGTCTTTCATCTATGACCCGGTCGGCATTACAGTCACTAACAAAAAAAGTTGCGTTAGATTTATACTCGGGAGGTATTTGTATGATATTTGTATTTGTATATAATTGATATATTGATCCTTCAAGGGCCCTCGTTCTTTCAGGAATTTGAAGTGTGGATGCAGAGAGCCGGAAAGCATATGGTACATTCAACACTCGAAGTCCACTAAATTTTTGGCCTCCTTAAACAAAAAAAACGTGTATGCGTTTCGAAAGTTACAACTCCATTCGACCCCGTTACAAGATTACCGGACGTGAGAAGTGAAAGGCTGAATCGTCGGCTTGATCTTCCTAATGATGAGCTCCACGATTCTGCCATGAAACGGTGAGGTGGGCGTTAATGGAAGCGCCTCGATGTGGAAATCTCGGATGGAGAGGTTATGTGAGTGCGATAAGCGACAAGAGGAGCCCCTCTCGTGGAGTCAAAGGGTAATTAGAGGTTTGGGCCCATTCGTCGTAGCATGTAGGTCCTGTGTGCAACTCTCTCTCTCTCTCTCTCCTTCACGAGAATGATGATTGAGTGTCGATAAGGTGGCTAGTTGAATACAAAGTTGCGGCTGGAACATATCCAGAGGGCCCGGGCCGCTTCTCGTGTGCCACCGATTGGATCTCGTCCTGCCGGTCAGTATTAGCGACAGTCGGTGTTATCCCCTCGCCTATACGACCGTATGATTACGTGATTAATGTACATATTTCCGTTGTCATACAATCATCTGGCTCGCCCATTAATGTCGATCGATAATATCCGACCGTGTCAAAACGTTGAATTTTGGCAGGCCAGTCATAAGATCGTCATGAGAGAATACCACCTTTATCACGACGACCTCGAGTACTTATTGGATTCGTACATCGTCGGATATACGACCCGGGCCATGGGGTCGCAACTTTAGAGGTTCGATTGCCAAAAGATGGAAGAATCTCGGACGAGAGAATCGCCTTTCGCAGAATCCTGAAGATAAGAATCTGCGACGGAAGAGCTCGCCGAGGCGAGCCTTCAATTCTCTGTCCGAGATCACACACAGACCGTCATCTGTCACGAGTCGACGGCCAGAAATCGCTCCAGCT